AAAAACATTTATTTGACTTTTAAAGTATTAAATGCACTTATTGAAAAATATCTTTTTTTATCTTTATCTAAATAATTAAAGTATTATATATATTTGATCTTCATCTAGATAACTAATTCGAACAATTATCTTTTACCCTTTCCAGACATTTAAAAAATAATCTGTGTATAACACAGTTGGTAACTCACTTCGAAGCTCCTCCATATGAAACAGTAACTCAGGAAGTTGCCTGTCAACTAAGAGGTCTTCTACACCGGATGATTTTCCACTAGAACTGGATTTTCCAGTACCTCCCGTACCTGTTCCCGTTCCCTTTTGACTGTTACCACCTCCAGAATTAGGGGCACCATGTCGCAGCAACCAGCATACTTCGTCTCGAGCTAAGCTTAGTCCAATAAATACCAACAGGACTTTCGGTCCTAACAACCCTGGCTGATCGGTTAGAATCAGTGCCAATTCTTTAAGTGCCGTACGTAGGTACTTCCGACGCTCACGGTGTCGGTACACCCTAAAATGTGATAAAAAGAATTGCATAAATTATTACACACATTCAAAAATATTTTAAATAGTAGTAATACTAACGCTTTTTGTGTAGCATGTGTATGTGCCTCTTTAACTTCAGATACTCTCTTTCCATAACCCTTCAATGTATCAAAAAATGACTGAACAAATGAGTGAATGGGTACTGTCTCATCCCTAAACAGGGCAATTGACCAATTTGACTCTAGTGCAGCTATCCACAATTTATGAGCTACATTGCCGTCTTGGTTGTGTTGCTGCTGGTTTGGTGGTTGTTGCAATGTTTGATGGCACAGCAAAAAGCCAACTGTTCAGGAGAAAAAAACAACAAAAACATTAGTCAATTTTTATTTAAAATGTGGAGTTCCCAGTAAGAACTAGATTTATCAATGAGAAACAAAAGAATGAAAACCAAAAATGTCTACTTACATATAATCCAACGCTCCATTGTTTCTAAGGATAGATATTCACAAGAAACAGTATCTGTAGATGAAGGTTTAAGTAGTTGGGCAGGATTACCTACTAGACTGAGTTTCTGGTCAGACCTAGGATGATAATTTAATTAATCTTCAATATAATATTAGTAACATAACAAATTTTACATATATCAGATCATGTTTAGCTCTGTTAGCTTAAAAATTAGAGTGAATTGACTGCTTATTAAAATTAAAAGTAAGATTATTATGGAGGACTTCTTATGTGCTTTTTTTTATATTTTAATTTTAAAGTGAGTTATGAGAATTTTAAAATTGTAAATTGTTTGTATTTTCTGAGAGTAAAATTTGGTATGTTATGACGGTATGTAAGACGTAGGCAACACATGCAGATATAACATCTTCTTAAGTCTAGGTGGAAAAGGTAAGACAGCATTGCCAAAAAAGATTATTTAAAAATAAAAAATTAATCCTCACCTCCATTTATCTGCTGTCAGGTTGCGCTGCACATACACTGGCCAAAGAGAACGTAGAGCTCCAGATAAAAGTTTTGTATGTGGCACAAATTCATCAGCTAACCGACGGACTGGTTGCTCATAATCTACAATCATTTGGCCAAGACGTGGGAAGCTCAGATCACTGTAAAACAAATTATTAGTAAGCTGATAGTGGGAAATAAAAAGAACAGTAAAAATACCATAAATCAATTTCACAGAAAATATTTTATCTATGTTAAAACATGACACAAAAAAAAGGTATGAACACAGGGTTTTCAATACACACACCTCGCTGAAATAATTTTTGACTTTATAATCTAGCCTATATTGTAGCTCTCCTCTTTTAATTGGCTGTCATATTATTATTTAATTATTTTTATATTGGGAAAAATCAACAAACCAAAAGTGGAGAACTATGAAATAGGACTGGTGTAGAAATATAAGTACTGTGATGATTTATTTTAGCTTAATCTTTATAGTTTTTACCTAGTATTTGAACAATCTATAAAGTATTGTATTTTTATAATAAGCAGAAATGGTGTTGTGGTTTTATAAGAAATATTAGAAAATATAAAATAAAATTAATAATATTTCAGATGGGGGGCCTGTGTTTAATTAAATGGACTTAAGTTCTTCAGCAATAGTAACTAAAATAATCACAAAAATTAAGTTATAAAAACAAATTTACAAAAATACACATACGTATCCAACAATTTTCAAAAAAACATACTGCATTATCTGTGATGATATTTATCTAATTGATTGTAATTTAAAAGTTTATCTAAAAGATTTATAAAAAGATACTGAAGCTTTTAGATTACTGAATTGAGAGAGTATAATATTATTTATTCTATTTTTATACATAGTAGAAATATATTACCTTTGATTATGTACCATCTCATGTGCAGCATTAAATAGACCTAACACGGCTTTGCGATCTTCCACACGTGATAGTAAAACCATGAGAGCTACGTATGTGGCCACTAAGTCTAGGTAGGCTCGCGTTAGCTCATAATTTACAGTCTATTAAAACAATAAGGATAATCAAAAACCATTAGTAATGCAAGCAATAGTAGTAAAAATGTATTGTAAAATCAAAAATTAAATTAAGCAACTTACAATATCCAGATTAACTTGACATGCGTCCATGGTAGTTAATAGTTCACACACCTGATCTTTGAAATCAAGAAGATCGACAAACGTGTAATAGTATAAAGACAGTGATTTTATAATATCACTACGAATGGGTGTTATGGCCTGAAGCTGTTTATGTTTGAAAAATCCCAACAAAAAAAGTCAATATTAAAACAACAAATATGTGTACTTATTCAGTAGTACCTATATTATTATAATAAATTAAAAGTACTTACACCTTTGATGTCTACATTAGGAAACCTGCGCACAATATATTTGATTGCAGACTCAAGTGTTTTGTCAGACAGGAACGCTGGCTTGGATTTAGCATCACCACATGCCTGTCAATAAAATAGTTGTATAAATTATACTTAATATTATTCTACTACAAATAAGTATATTATTTGTCTTAGGATTACCATTTATATTACTAAGGTAAGTATAGCTACTCTTTTGAGCTAAACATAAAAATTTTGCATTTACATTATCAATGTTTAGACAAAAATTTTGATTAAAAATATTTGTATTTGATCTACACAAATGATAAGTTTCAAATAAAATGTTTGAGGATTAACTATAATGTACAGAGAAGAATTTTTTTTTTTTTGTTAATAAAAGCAAATTTAATATATAGGTAGGTATATACTTATAGAAATATTTCAAAATAATAATCTATCAACAAGTTCTAAATAAATAGAAGGTAAAAATATGCTACCTACCGAGCTATCTACCTATGGTCTAAGATATTTGAAAAATAAGTAGTTATTTTTGTGTTTAAATTGCATTAATTAAAAAATTTGTAAGAGAAGTTTTTTTTAATATAAAAAATAATAATATTGTTAGAGTGGTTTTAACATTTAAACTACTTCTAATAGGAACTTATTTTGTTATTAAGTACCATGTTATTATTTAAAGCAATAAAAAAAAAAACATTATATCTATCACCTAAAATATCTATTAAATTTGACACATCTCTAAGCTCACAATTTTAATTTCTCAGTTCAAAAGAATACCTACCAATAAATGTTTTTTAGTTTATGTATTTGACAAGATGACAAGATAATAAGTGTATGGAAATAAACACATATTTTGAGAACTGTAGAAAGCCTACTTTTTTTTTGTAATCGGACATACTATCCACAAAAACACTACCTATTCTTTTATCGTCATCATGATATTAAGGCATCCCTAACTACCCTGGGACCAACACTGCCATCATAGCTACACAGCCACCGCCTTCATTAGAAGGATGAATCTATGTCGAACGAGGCGGTAATTGCAAAATCAAAACAACAGCAAACCCACAGGGCCGAACACAAACAACGGCAACGTACCTTTTTGATATTGTAGATGCGCGTGAGCATGCCCACGCCCCGGTCGTTGATCAAGCTCAGCTTCTCGGCTAGCTTGTGATGGCCGGCGGATAGACCGCCGCCACCGCCACCTCCCAGGGATGAGCCTGAACGCGACGACATCGTTACGTACGTTGACGGTGACGACCGCGTACGAAGGGCTGTTTGCGCTGCACTCGACGGTCAAACTTTTGTAATATTATATTCCTCAAGTTTCACCAACGGAAACGCAATTCCCGGTCTTAATAATTGCGACTGTCCGGATTGTTATGATGATGATAAACAGAGTTTGTGTGTGCGAGTAGGAGGCTGCGTCGCGGTGATAAGTTGATAATAGATAATGGAAACAACAATAACATGGCGGTTATGGTGCGATGCAACCGCTGCAGTGTGAGTGTGTGACAACCACCTACGCCGATGACGCACTGAATATTTCGCCGACGGACAGGCCGCGGCGGTAGCACCATATTATCAGTCACCACCGTTGTAATTAGTGATGGGAATAATCGAGAGAAAATAATCGAGTAACTCGATTATTAGGAAAAATAATCGAATGATAACAGTAATTACTAATTAATAATTACTATTTATTAGTAGTTACTAGTTACTAATAAAATACTAGTAATTCGAGTATTATTTTATTCTACTCATCAGTTAATGCTTAGAAACCATATTAATATCTCTAATATTGTAATATCTTAAAAAAGAAAAAATGCTGTTAAAATCTTAAATCCTGTAACCATACCCTAACTAATGGCCATGTAACTGCCGAGTTTTTTTCTTGATCAATAAAAAAAAAAAAAAAATAAGTGTAATAATGAATTCGTATTAACCATGTTTTTAATTTTGTATTAATAAGTTGAATATTGGTTGATTTTTAATCAATAATGTTTAATGTTTTGATTATTTTAATCGAATGAATATCTCGACCATGACGAAATAATATTTCGATTATTTTAATCGAGTGAATATCTCGATTATAGTAATATCTCGATTACTAATTACTCGATTATCGAAATCATTCGATTATTCCCATCACTAGTTGTAATCTCTCGTCGGCGTTATCACTTGTCACCTTATCTCGGGCGACGACGTAACGTGTTTTCGATTTCACGTGCCGATTAGAGTGGAAAGCTTTCGCTACTCCGCTGTGCGCGACTTCTCCGGTTGCCGTGGTGATTCCTGTCGAGTTTCCGACTTTTCGTCCGTTCCTGGCAGTCGTTTCTATTCGTACCTAGTCATGCCGCCAAAGAAATCGAAGAAATCAAACAAGAACAACCAGGATTGGGCCGGCGACGACGACGATTCGGTTGGTGAGTCAGTCGCATTCGCATACCTTTTGTGTTTCCCACAGCTATGTTCTGAAACAATATCACCGTAGACGCTGCCCGTCACTGAGTCAGTATGGCCAAAACAGTTAGGGACTATGGTATGAGGGTCGATCCATTACATACTGCGTAGAGGATCACTTTTGCTCTGAACGTTGTATGCGTTCAATGGCACTAATTTTTTTTTGTTTTCAATAAAATTGAATTTTGAAGCACTTGCCAATTATTGTAGAATTTACTATCTGTGTAATGTATATAAGTACATTTTTCAAAACACATAATGTCCTGCAAAAAATACAAATACCTAAGTAGTTTTATAACTCGTGTTATAATTAGTAGGTAGCAAATATTTAACTATATTTATTTAAGTTGCGAGTATATGCCCCTCTACGATGTATTATGGAGTGAAAGTTCAGTTCAAAATAATAACTTTTTCATTCAAATGTTATATTGAATACCTATATTATTGCTATATAAGATGATGCCAGGGATCGTTATATGTTACATAGTTGCTTTGGAACTTACTTTAAAAGTAAAATATCAATAAACACCTATGAGGTGCACTTGAACATATTCTTATTTTAGTTTTTAATAAGTCAATATTCACTCTAATATTAATGCTAACAACACAAGATTGGCATTGCCAAATTTCACTTTTCTATGTTGCGTGTGGACCAGAGAGAGAAAACATATAGTTCAACAACATCCTATTAATATGTTGAATTGTTTCTACTGTTATTATGGTATATAATATTAAACAGAAAACTAATTTATTTCATTGATTTTGGTATATTAGATATTTTAGTATTTTATAGATATTACATTTATTAGGGTTAATGTAATTACTTTTATTTTCAACTTCTATCTTGTATGTTTCTTCATGAATGACTTTTTATCTTGTATATTGTATATTTTTTTCATAGTGATAATTATTCACATTCGTGGAGGGGCTTAACATTTTTACTTTATCCATTAGGGTAAACACACATTTTTAGGCACTTCAACCCCTTAGCTAGTGGCTACTCCCACTTTATTCTAGCTGAGGCACCAATTATGTATAAGTGATAGGAATATAAATAATAGCTACAAAATTATTTTTATTTTTATATTATAAATTCATTGCTTTGTTCAAATATATTGATGATGGTATTGGTATCGTTTGTATCAATATATTTAGATACAATTTTTTCTATGTACAAAGTTGAGGTGTTGTTTATATTAAAGACATCAAACATTAGCGATTATTGAACTATTGAACTAATTATAATTTAAAATTAATTCACACTTTACGCCTCCAATTGAAAGTAATTAATTACCAAGTTACAAGTGTGCCTATACCTACCCACTTGTAAAATTACTAGATTGAAATTAAAATGTTTGTGTAATTTATTTAAAAAATTTTCTTTTACAAATTATCAACAATTTTTATTGATGTTTGGATTTAGTGGATATATTGGCTGCTGTCAAAGCAAATGATGATGTAACAGCTGAAGAACCTGTGCAACCTAACCGTGGAAATAAAACTTCTAAAAAAAACAAGAAAAAGAACAAAAATCAAGATTGGGAAGATGAATCTGAAGGTACAATATTTTATGTTATAATGTTTGGAACACTACAAAATGGGATCTTTCTGGGTTATCTTGACTACCCAAATATTTCTAAGACTACTTCATGTAACCTAATTTTATACCTTATATTTTAAAGCTCATACATTTATTAAATATATCTGTAGGCGTATTCTAGTTTAGGCACAAAGCACCTATATGGTTCATCACTATTAAAAGTTTATTTTAAATAAATGTAGGGGCTGTGTTTGTATATAATATGGAACAGATGTTGTACCTAGTAGTAAAAAACTGAAATTGATTGCAGGATTGCACAAAAAAATACCGAAAATTGCACTTAAAAATTTAATTCATGGTTATTAATCAATTAATTCTTTTTTACTTATCCCACAATTCACACTATACTTAATAAAATAAATATTTAATAAAAATAATTTTTCAACTATTTTCTTTTTTCATATTTCTAAATTAAAATTTGATTTGATTTTACAATCTTAATTCTAAATTACCTTAACATAATTAAATAGGACCTCAAAAGTGTTTGTTTCATATTTTTTATTTTTCTCAATTTGCAGCCATTAAGTAAAAACCAATGAAAAATCATGTGAACAAATTTGAAAAATAGATTTATGAATGAGTAAATTCAACAAAATTCATTAAATTCAACTAAAAATACTGTACTATTTTAATTTGTATTTACAAAAAATGCATTTAAAACTATCAATTAAGTTAAAACAGTAGAAGAATAGTTGCGAACGCAACAACATCCTTGCCCTGATGATACATTTTGTCTAGAATGTAAATAATATGTTTTAATATGTAGTTTGATACTTTGCCTGAAGTCTTGTCTATGTTTACATATATGTACCTAGTCGTATATTTGTAGTTAATAAAATGTTACTAAAGTCATTATATTATTCTTACATTTTTAGATTTGGTAGATATTGTAGCCGCCTCAGCAGTAAATGATGTAGCAACTGTTAATGAACCTTCACAACCTAACCGTGGGAATAAAGTTTCTAAAAAAAACAAAAAGAAAAATAAAAACCAAGATTGGGATGATGAATCAGAAGGTAAATATATTGATTAAGTAATCAACTTATTACAGTTTTACTTAAAGATATAGTAATTTAAAGCCTATCAGTGAACTAAATGCGGTTTTATCGACCAAATAATTACTATTGCTTATGTATTTTTTTTCATTTAGTTTACAAGATTAATAATATATTATCTAAAACTGTTCATATAAAAAAACTTTAAATAACACAAACAGTGTAACTGAAAAGTTTTTTTTTTTGAGTAAAGGTTACATTAATAAGTTTAGATTTTTAAAATCAATGTTAAAATGAAATTGATTCTATAGTTGTGTACTAAATCAAAATTCGCCAACTATGATATTTTTTAATAATTTAAGAAACTCGATTTAGCTCAATTTGTGTTGAATAATTTTTGAATTAACAAATTACAAAAATGTATTTATTTTATAATGAATAGGTGGTATCTATTATAATATATAATACATTGATTTATAATAGTACTTTTGTTGTTGTTAATGTATAGATTTAGTTGATCTTTTGGCGGACACAAAATTAAATGATGATGATGATGACAATGTTGAAGAAATTCCACAACCAATTCGTGGAAATAAGATATCCAAAAAGAACAAGAAAAAGAATAAGAATCAACAACAAGATTTGGAAGAAGACTCTGCAGGTATAAGGGCCTAATTGTTGTTATTATATTACTTGATATCATTTCTCTAGGGCCTTTTCACACATTGCTACTCAATAGTGCTGCTGATAGAAACACATTAAGAAATAATTAAGATCTATAACACCTAGTTCATCATTTTAATTAATTTTTAAATGATGTATTTAAATGCAATATCACACTCAACATATTTGAGTAGGAGATAAACATGATTTATTGAGGGTACAATTTGCTATGTTACCATAGGCGGCATCCGTTGAGTTGAGAGAGAAATTTTTACCTTATCCATTAGCGTAGACACACATTTTCAGACACTTCAACCCTTTTGATACTCCTACTTTATTCTAGCTGAGGCACCAAGTATGAATATGTAATAAGTACATAAATAATTGAACTATTTGTAGCTACTATTTTTTTAATTTTAGAAACCCATTGCTTTGTGCGGGTATATTAACAATGGTATCAGTATCATTTGTATCAATACATTTAGATACACTTTTTTCCGCGTACAAAATTGAAGTGTTGTTGATATTAAAGGTATCAAACACTATCAGATTATTAAACTAATTATAATTTTAAAATGAATTACACAATACAAATAAATTAATAAAAATTATAAATAAAATTACAAATTTCAATTTATTTTGACGTCTGGTCTGTCTGTGCTCTTATATAAGATATTATTACAATATAAATGAAACATTACGTCATAGCACATGTACATTATGGTTATAGTATCGTACATTGGTTCATTGTATTAATTATAATCTTAATGGAATGGTTTGCCTTTGGAAACTGTTAAATACTCAAATGGCACTTAAACCCGTTGTTAAACCCACTTAGATAACCATGTCTCTGACAAAGATTAAAAAATTAATTCTTCTAAAAAAAAAATTGATTTATTTAAAATATTTTGATTATTTTCTACAATTTGATCGTACTACCATGTATGTTATGCACTCATAACACACAGATATCACATTTGGGTGCCACGTCCTCGTAATGATGTTAACAGTGGTGCGATCTTTTTATATGTTTTAAAATGAACTTAAAAATCTTAGGTATTATTAAAATTAATAAATTTTAGCCTGTAGTATTATTTAATAGTTTAACTATTCTATTAATTTTTGGGTTATTGAGAACTATATTTATTGCGTAAAATATCACAGGAAATAAAAAATATTGTGTTTTATTTATGATCAGTACACATATATTATGTGATTGTGTATTAGCGATTAGTTAACTTTATCACCGTTGACAGAAACTGATAAACAAACTTCATCAATATTAGTACATAAATAACAAATCTTAGTTTTTAAGTTAATGAAAAATAACTAGTTGTAGACAATGTTGGTTAAATAAGCATAATGTATAGAGGAGCAGTGTAAAAAAAATATTTTATAAAATATTAGTTAGAAAATTTTTTTTTTTTAAATATACTATAGAAATCATATACTAGTCTTAAAAGTCACAGTATCAAAATCATTTAAAACACCAGTAGCATTTAAAACATTTGAATATAAATTCAAATTAGAGTTGGAAGTTTACTATAGGATCATTTTTTGAAAGATTTATATCCATTAGTAAGTTAATCTAAACACTGAAGTAATATTAAGTGACATTTAGCTATATGGTTTTAATACCTTTTTATGTTATTTTTAATATTTAGGTATTAGAACTACTTTTTATTTATAATTTCTATCAAAAATTATGAAACTGCTTATGATTATGTAATTGAATACTGTTATGTTTTTATTATTTAAAAAAAAACAAAACAAAATATTTTTTAAATTAAGTTAAGCATATTTAAAATTGTAATTCATATTCGTTTAGTTAATTATTTCATAATTTTTATAATAATTTTTTAGTCGATGATGATAATGATATTGATATTGATGATATTGATATTGATAATGATGATGAAGACGTTAATGAAGATTGAAAATATTAAATGATGATGAAGACGTTAACACCTTGCCTAGTATGGTTTCAATACCACCCATTGAAGAAGTCACTAATGATAAACTGACAAAAATTTCAACAGGAAAAATTTCAAAAAAGAACAAAAGAAAAAAGAAAGATTTTGATTTGGAAGAAGACGATGATGACACATTAGGTAAGTTATAAGTTATAACTAATAAACTATTATTATGTAAATATTGTAAAACCAAGGTGCTTTTTAATTTGCAAATTTTCCTTGGTGCTTTGATTCATAGTACCTTATAATGTTGAACTCTTTAAACAACAAGGACTATTTCTCAACACAGGAGAAAACATATTTTCTACTTTATTCAATAAAAAAATTATTTTTGCTCTATATAAAAAGTAGAAATGTCGACAATCTCTATTATATTTTTGTTTTTTTATCCAAAATTTTTCAGTAAAATATAATTTCAGCTTCTCAACTGTATTAGTCATACTAAATAATAACTTTTATGTCCCTATTGAAGTTTACAAATATCTTAATTCTGGTAAATCTAAGATAAGATCTTAATAATATTAGAATATAATATAGAATTTTCTATAAATATAGTACAAATTTGGTACAATATAAGACCTAATAAAATATTGAATATATTTTTTAATTTTTTTCGTGGCGTCCGTGAAGGCAATACATCACTAATCTTTCCCATCTAAGAAAAAAATTGGGTATTACTGTGTTAGATGGTAGTTAGGTTTATATAAATGGATATTACTGAAAGTTATGGTTTGTTATTATAGTTCAAGACAATGGTGTCAGAATTAGTGACAACAATAAACCTTTGGATAATGTTGTAGAAGAAGCTGTCAATGCCGACAATGATCTGACAATCGTAGAAAAGGTTGCTGAAGATAATGAAGATGATAGTACTCCTACAGCTAAACCAGGTAATGATTTATGCTTACTTGTTACTTTATCATTATACTTGTAATTAATTAGACGAAATATAATTTGACATGATGTATGTTAAAATGATCGCAATATTATATCCACCTCTCTTAAGCGCAATGCTGTGTTGGTGATAGATGGTTACATATTTTAATATATTATGATAAAATTAAGAGTATTGATGAACAAAAACAAAAAACAAACCTGCATTAAAATAGAATTGTTTAGAAAAGTAATTACAAGAAGAATAATAATATTTTAACAATTTTGTATGAATGTTTTACAGATCATATTCTGTATTCTAAAGCTGAGCAAGTACTCGATTTTGAAAAGAAATTTGAGTCGAGTTTGAGTACTGGTTATTTTCTTATACATATAAACTTTCAACTGTTAACACATCTAATAACTTTCTTTAGGTTATCCTACTAAGGTATTTTTATATAAACAGATCCTGATAATTTTGCTTTGTAGATATTGTAGTTGTCTAACAGTGCTTTTCTTTAAATCATCTCCCCCCCCCCCCCCCCCCCCACAATAAAAAACCAAATCATATTGAAATTGTTGTAATTGTTGGTGTGTTTCCTAACCGGAATTCCTTACTGTAATGTAGTACAATATGACTGTGTTATGTTTTTCAATCTACTGCTGTTATTCATAACGATTATGTGTCGGTATTTCTGTTATAGATGAAGACGTAGTCAACGAAGATGGCGGTGATATAGACGATGAGCTGGAAGCCGCTAAGCTTTTAGGGAAAAAAAAGAAATCGAAAAAAAACAAAAAGAAGAAAAATTATGACGAGGAAATCCTTATGGAGGCGCCAACATCTGATGGTTGGTTTTTTTATGTGTTCTAATAATTTATTCCGGCAGAGCTACCACCGTCAAGTCGTTATTATTAATTTATCGAATTTATGGTAATTCTAGTGGCGGCGGATGACGATGGGAGCAATGAGCCTGCTGTTGATGCCAAAGAAGTTGATTTGGAAGCGAAATGTGTAATTGATGACGAAGAAAAGCCCATTGAACAGGGTTCTGACGTTGTAGCTGACGCCGAGGACGCAGTGGCGACGTCCATTAACGCTGATGGCAAAAACGACGATAATACGGGTGAGTTTTTTTTACCAGTACATTTTATTACCTATTGTATCTAATCAAAATACGATAATGTGCTTTAATAACGTGTTCACATTAATTAGACCAACTTGTGGACGACGCTGTACCAGAGGTAGTAAAAGTGCCCAAACAAAAGTCGAAATCAAAGGAGATAAACAAATCCGATAAAATGTCTCATAAGGAGAAGAAAAAAATGAAAAAAGAGGTACACATGATATAATTTGAATAGTTATCAATAATCGCTAGACATGTTTTGAATTGTAATTACCGCCTCGTTTGTTCTTTTAAGATGGAGTATCAGAAACAAATGGATTTGATGACCAAGAAAGGAGGCCAGGGTCACAGTGAGTTGGGCGCCAACTTTTCGGTGTCACAGATTCAAAAGACGGCGGGTCAGCTAGCGGCCATGGAGCACGCTGTCGACATCAAGATCGATAGCTTTAGCATCGCAGCCAAGGGTCAAGACTTGTTTGTCAACGCCAGCTTGCTGATTGCCCACGGCCGACGGTACGGTCTGGTCGGGCCAAATGGGTGAGTACTGAACTTATAATGTTCACTTATTAAACCACCATCGGCTAGGTTACCTTCGCTGTTGTCATTGTGAGAATATTAGTTAGATTATTTACTTTTCGTCCTTTTCATCCAATAACAATATCATTCTGTTAATGTATTTGCCCAGTCACGGAAAAACGACACTGCTCAGACACATTGCCGAACGTCTATTCGACGTGCCACCGGGTATTGATATCCTATACTGTGAACAAGAGGTAGTGGCTGATGAAACAACAGCGGTTCGGGCCGTACTTAGAGCGGACACGCGGTGTACGGAGTTGCTAGCTGAGTGCAAAAAACTCGAGGAAGCTCAAGAAAAAGGCACGGGAGAAGATGTAACAGAAAGGCTAAATGAAGTGAGTAATTGGAAGGGGTAATCGAGGGCGTTTTTTAATCTGGTGATGTATCTATACTACCATTTTTTTTTTACTCTTACATAGGTATATGACGAGCTCAAAGTGCTCGGGGCTGACTCAGCTGAACCCCGGGCTCGGCGAATACTTGCCGGTCTTGGTTTCTCCGCGGCCATGCAGGACCGGGCCACCAAAGATTTCTCGGGAGGATGGCGGATGCGCGTGTCCCTTGCCCGGGCCCTGTTTCTGGAACCTACGTTGTTGTTACTCGACGAACCGACTAACCATTTGGATTTGAACGCGGTCATCTGGCTGGACAAGTGAGTCACTTCGTGTTGATTGATGCAAATATCATCTCGTCAGCACACCACGGTCTTGCCCATCGAGCTACGAGTGTGTTAAATTTATGAACGGTTATAGTCAAACAGAATGTTGATAGTTATTTGCAGGGATGGAAGAAAACTCTGTTAGTTGTATCTCACGACCAGAGCTTTTTGGACAACGTGTGTAACGAAATTATTCACTTGGACCAGAAGCGATTGTTCTATTACAAAGGTAATTACAGTATGTTCAAGAAAATGTACTCGCAGAAGAAAAAGGAGACCATCAAAGAGTACGAAAAACAGGAGAAACGGCTGAAAGAAATGAAACAACAAGGTCAATCCAAGAAGCAAGCCGTGAGTTTTGCCATATCCGGTGTCAAGCCGACCGCTACTCAGGGTTAATCTCTAATGAAAATATTGTGTGATTGCAGGAGAAAAAACAAAAAGAAGTGTTGACCCGTAAACAAGAAAAAAACAAGGGCAAACCGGGTAAAGGTGCTGGCATGGACGATGATGACAACGCTGAACCCACGCAGCTATTACAGAAACCTAGAGACTACAACGTCAAATTTTCTTTCCCCGATCCCAGTCCATTACAGCCTCCTATACTGGGCCTGCACAGTGAGTAGTCTTCAGTAACCTTATTCACTTGACATAATATTATTGTGAAAGGATAAAATGTCATCGGTTGATATTGTGTCTCTCTTTTAATTGCACAGGTACGAGTTTTGCTTATCCCAATCAGAAGCCGTTGTTTAAAAACGTCGATTTTGGTGTTGACCTCAACTCCCGGGTAGCTATTGTTGGGCCCAACGGTGTAGGCAAGTCGACGTTCCTCAAGCTATTGACCGGTGACTTGCAGCCTACCATCGGTGAAATGCGAATGAACCATCGGATGGTATGTATACACTCGTTCATAGTTAATTGAAATCGCAAATTGTCTCATACGCGTTTCTCACAGAAACTTGGAAAGTTCGACCAACATTCTGGTGAACATTTGACTGCCGAAGAGACGCCTGCCGAATATCTGATGCGGCTGTTCGACCTGCCGTACGAGAAAGCCCGCAAGCAACTGGGTACTTTCGGGCTGGCTGGCCATGCGCATACCATCCGCATGAAGGACCTGTCCGGTGGACAAAAAGCTCGTGTCGCCCTGGCTGAACTCTGTCTTAACGCTCCCGACGTAATTATACTGGTAAGTCCTTGGATATCGCAGCATTCGACTGTGGGTGAAATGTTGAGTTGTATTTCAAGGCCCCCAGAGTGTGGGTAAAAAAAAATCAGTACATTTACAAAATATTTATTACCTAGCAGAACGAATTAAAAACATTTAAAGTCGATTTTTAATTTTTTTCTTACATCACAGGATGATATTGATAAAAAATTCTAACTAAAATCATAAGTGACATCAACTATTATGTAATTTTTGCAACATAATATACCTCCTAAATATTAAATATTGTAATACAACACTTTTGAAAAAAAAATTGTTATCCATTTCGGTGGAGGTCGTTTACAGTGGTAAATAACATCACTAATTCAACTAATACATATTTTTAGCTTTGTTTTGCCATGGTTGTTGCAATGCTGCTAATATTTTTCTTATTGTTACAGGACGAGCCTACAAACAACTTGGATATTGAATCTATTGACGCTCTTGCAGAAGCAATAAATGATTACAAAGGAGGTGAGTTTATATGGATAGTATAATGATGTATTTTCTGCTTCATCCGATTTGCACAATTTTATTTTATTTACGTTTGCAATTAAGGTGTTATAATTGTATCTCACGACGAACGGCTGATCCGTGACACGGAATGTACATTATGGGTTATCGAGGACCAGACCATCAACGAAGTGGATGGCGACTTTGACGACTACAGAAAGGAGCTGTTGGAGTGTCTGGGCGAGGTAGTTAACAGTCCAAGTATCGCTGCCAACGCGGCCGTCGAACAATAGTGGCCACCCTGGTGTCGTCTTATCGATTATAAATTATATTTAACAATTTTGGTTGCGCGGGCGCATCAGATACTTGTAATTATATTGCTGTTGTCTTTGGCGTATTTGTGATAATGTTATCGTCATAGTCTTGTGACGTACTGTAATTCCTATTTACGTGCCTTGTTTACTCACAATATATTTTATGAATAAATATGTAAAACAAAAACTAGTGTATTTCATAATATTGTGGTGTGCCTACAATATCATATATTGGTGACTTATGGTTTTTATCAAACCTCGTTGTTTCTGGTGCTAATAGAAATACTATATTATATTGGGTTTGCAGACATTATCAATACCTTTGTACATGGTTACTATATCAATATAAACACACCACATACTGTTAAAAGAAAGATGGGTTTTAATATTAAAAAAGTTTTGTATTAGGTAATATTTGGTGAGAATGAATATAATTCTATATCATGTTAGTGTGAACTGAATGAATAATTGTATTAAATTAATAAAAATATAAATGTCGAAAGTAACTTAGGTTCTTCACATCATTATTGGTTGTTCTGAATTCTGACTTGATATAGTTCTTGTTTATAATTTGAAATAAATCAAATATACTTACGTTCAAAAAAATTACCAGTAAAAACCATACCATCAAGCCTTGTGAATATATCGCTATTCACAATGAATCAAAAGAATAAAAATAGAACAATTTCATTATTATAGTGGAATAAGTAATATTGTAACGTTTTTTTAAATATTTAAATGTCCTGCCATCTTCACAATATAGAGAATTGAATTTATTGCAAATTTTGAAATAATTTAAATTTTCGTACTTTTCGACTGTATGTCAATAGAGATTTGTAGTTTTAGATTTTAATTTTCATTAAATATAACATTCCAAATTAATAGTGTCTTATTTTCTGTGGAAATATCTTACATAATCTGTGTTTATGTGGCAATATTTTCAACAGTTTTGGTCAGTAATAACAGGAAATGTATACTATTTAAATATATTTCAAAAGTTATGCTTACAAAATGTATTTGTACACAAACCTAACATTCAATAAGTAATCACTGTGAATTATTCACCTTCAAAACATTGTTATCATAATATCTATAACCATTATGAGTACTTATATATTGTATAATATACTGTATACCCCATACTCAATGCTATGACTTACATATGAGGCACCAAAATATAGATGTCGTAACCAAATTGCCTATCCAAAACGCCTTGTGATCAATAATTTATATAGCCTACATTCGGTGGAGTTAATCAAATTGAATGTAACTGCGAAACCCTCACACAGTACAAAACAAACAAAAATAATTCTAATTTCTTATAATATGCCAATTTTCAATAATCTACCGAAGTAAGTAAAAATAGTATTTAGATATTAAATTAATTTCAACAATAGGTCATAAAAAACTAAGCTTTTTTAACTAAGGATTTGTGTATAGGTATGTGGCTAGGATTTTTCACTAAAACCTGGGTGGTCACCTATCTGACAACTGAGGACACCGGCTGATATTTAATCTCAGAACACGTTTGTGACTGAAGCCATACACGGCTCCACACCAGGCCACATTTTAATATTTATATTGCTATTATCGTAATTGATTTTACTATTGCTGATAATGTGAAAGCAAGTAAGTTGGGTTGTTTACTATAGAAAACTTTGCATTATTATATTATTACTATTTAGTTATTTCAATAGGTACCTACGATATGCTTGTAACATAGATATTAGATTATCGTTATTAACTTTTGAGTTGATACCGACTTACAGTAAAACATAATATGTGTAAATAGGGTTCGTGATATTATATCTAGTTATTAAAGCTAATAGCATACATTTATTCTAAATGTTTTCAAAATATTGTGTCCATAAAATATAATAGTATATACAGTCAAAACTCTTTATAACGAAACTCTTTACAACGAAAAACTCTATATAACGTAAACATTACATAATAATGGTTGGTTTGCTATATAACCCATTAGACAATTCATTCTCTATAACGTATTAGTCACTCTCAATAACGAAACAATATTTTATGTTTCATAATACAATTTACGTGTTATCGTATCTATTACATATATAAACTATAAAAATAATCGGCAATAATGCCGAATAAAAAAGTCCAAACTAAGATGACAGACTATTTTAAATAAGGTATAAATATGTATAGTATAAAAATTAAATTATATTTAATAAGTATGTATAATAATAATAATAATTCAATATAATACGTAAATATATATAAAATAATGTAAAAATAATGATGTGTTTGATATATAATATTACATTGGTACATACCTTTATACATAAATAATTAAAATTTTGTTTTTTTTAAACCCTCTCTATTACGAAAACTCTCTATAACGAAAGAAATCTCTTGGTCCCTTCAGATTCGTTATAAAGAGTTTTGACTGTATCAATATGTAAAAGTTTCAAATCCCCATGAAAAGTATGTTTGAATAAATTACAAAAAAATAGGTAACTATAATCGTTATTTTCCATTTATATATCTAATTTTGTACTAATTTGAAAAAAAATGTCTATGAAAAAAAATTGTTCAAATAATTAAAAAGTTTTTTGGTTTCAGCACGAACTAATAAGCATTTTTGTATTGCATTTTTAGTATCTTAAAAATAAGACTGATTATCTATATTACACATTTTTAACTATTTGTACTGTATTACTTATTATGTGTATTTAACAACCAAACTATTTGTAAATGTTTATGACAAAAATCAAAGCAATATCTATACATGTGCCATTATTATTTTTTAAATAGGTACTTAGCTATAATAGGCTATAATATTTTATTATAATATCTTATGATATTATATGCTATAATAACAACAAGGTGCCTTGTTTGGGTTTCAGATTTTTGATCAAATGAACAAATTCTTTCTGATGTTTACAAAACAAAAGTAAAAATAAATCATTAATACTATACATCTACAAATAGCAAAAAAATAGCCAAAATTGTATATTTTAGTATCAACTAAGTAACTAAGTATTAAGTAGCAATTAGGTTCACGCCTTTTTACCAGCAAAGATATTTAAGTTGCAAGTCAAGTTTTTTACAGCTCGGAAAAGTAATAAAGAAATACTAAGCATACCTAGCATGAAGTAAATAAGTAGAGACATCTAAAATTGTTCTACTATAACATGAAAAAAAAAACGGTTACATAATTCAATTTAAATTAATGCAATTTATGTACAGTACAATACCATGTTTTATTTAATACAATTAAGAAAGTGTAATACTGAAATACGCTATTGACCAAAGAATACTGTTAGTATACCTGTTCTACTAGCATTAGTAGAAATCAGTGAGATTGGGGTTCACCAAGTCCTCTCAAAAGTTATAAGTATCAGTCGTTCAGTCGTAGCCCCGATGTTCCTTACAATATAATAAAGTGCCCAAAAGTCTAATGATTTTCATAATAATAAAATGTATTTTCAACATTTAACAAGAAACGATCGTATTTAATATTATCCTTCGACGTTTTTTATCAGCTGCAGTCATCCATGTCGCTCCAACCCAGTTTCGATGAAAATACGACATAGATACCTACGTAATAATATTATATTATATTTAACTACCTAATTATTATTGTTATTACCTGCCTAACGCATTTTGGTGCAGATATTGAATTGGTTATAATTCAATTAATAAATTACTTAATAATTTCCGTTCAGTATACTTTTCAAATGCTCAAATGTAGGATTATAATTTGTTTGTACTTTTTTATGGTTAAATTGTTTGCTTTGTAAAACGTAAGTTGTCTTATTGGAATTGCCAGCAAATGGGTGAGCAGCTCTAGTAATGAGCATTATAAGCTCAGCCACCCTTTTTCTCGAATTTTCTCTTATGATCGGTAAATGAGGCTGAATTTTTAACATGTATTTTGACAGTTTTCCAACTCTTAACTTTTGGGGTTATATTCACAACGACACAATGGACAGCAATCGAAACCAATCCAATGAAGCTCTAGAATAATACAACAATTACACAATGACAAATATTTAAGTTAAGTATATAATGACATTTTACACATACTTTTAGTTTAACTATAAAAAGTAATAGAAACTGGCTGATTTTATTTTCTGGTGATAAACAGATAGCTCCAAGACAACAGTATAATGAATACTTAGTTTTGGTGAAAATACAATAATATAGCTCTAAAAGTCAAAATTGTTTTTTTTTTTATTTACTGAAAAGTTTTTGAAAAATGAAACTGTCTGGTTTTTACGTCACAGACTCCTTCATTTTCTATCAATACCTAGTTAAAATTATTGGTGAAATTAAACGATTATTTTGTTGGTTTTTTAAATTTATTAAGGATACCAAATGTGTTAATCCTGTAAGAATCCTTCTACTTGTAATTTGTTCAGACGATAATATAAAACAATTTGGTTGGACGTCCTCGGCTCGATAAACACAGACCGTTCAAAATGCATTCGTGTTATGGCACTCGGCCTAATTCGACATAGAGGTCGGGTTACATATATTAGTATACATTATACGGTACAGGTATCGATGCTCGTGCGGCGTGAGATCTACGTCCTTTTACAGAAAAAAATAAATGCTTAGTTACGCTAGGGTTGCCCTTCACCGCGACTCGTTTCCATTTAACGCCACTTATAATAACTATAAATTATTATTGTTTTGTATTTTACAGAGTATTACAATCATTCAATGCATAGTTGTTGTGCCCATCTGAATTATATTATTATAATATTTGTATACCTAAATACTTTCCGCAAGCCGTCGATGTGGGTGGTGGTGGGTGCACCTGTCTGTGGCAGTGTGGCATTGACTGAGTTCGAGGATCGTAACAAAATATTTATAGGTTAAATACGAATCTTTTCTCATCACGCATACAATAATTCTACAACTAATCGCCCCCCCACAATTTTTATGCGAAATAGGTCAAATAAACGTCCTGGACAATTTTGTTTTGTTAGAATATATTATTATTATTACTGATTAAATCGATTAATACACAAACATTTCAAGTAGTCGAAAAGTTTAGATACGTATTGCAAATGACAAACAAATCAAAAATTTGTGTTAAC